GTTCGCGATGTGCACTGTTCGCGATGTGCACTCTTCGCGATGTGCACTGTTCGCGATGTGCACTGTTCGCGATGTGCACTGTTCGCGATGTGCACTGTTCGCGATGTGCACTGTTCGCGATGTGCACTCTTCGCGATGTGCACTCTTCGCGATGTGCACTGTTCGCGATGTGCACTCTTCGCGATGTGCACTCTTCGCGATGTGCACTCTTCGCGATGTGCACTCTTCGCGATGTGCACTCTTCGCGATGTGCACTCTTCGCGATGTGCACTCTTCGCGATGTGCACTGTTCGCGATGTGCACTGTTCGCGATGTGCACTGTTCGCGATGTGCACTGTTCGCGATGTGCACTGTTCGCGATGTGCACTGTTCGCGATGTGCACTGTTCGCGATGTGCACTGTTCGCGATGTGCACTCTTCGCGATGTGCACTCTTCGCGATGTGCACTCTTCGCGATGTGCACTCTTCGCGATGTGCACTCTTCGCGATGTGCACTCTTCGCGATGTGCACTCTTCGCGATGTGCACTGTTCGCGATGTGCACTCTTCGCGATGTGCACTCTTCGCGATGTGCACTCTTCGCGATGTGCACTGTTCGCGATGTGCACTCTTCGCGATGTGCACTCTTCGCGATGTGCACTCTTCGCGATGTGCACTGTTCGCGATGTGCACTGTTCGCGATGTGCACTGTTCGCGATGTGCACTGTTCGCGATGTGCACTGTTCGCGATGTGCACTGTTCGCGATGTGCACTGTTCGCGATGTGCACTGTTCGCGATGTGCACTGTTCGCGATGTGCACTGTTCGCGATGTGCACTGTTCGCGATGTGCACTGTTCGCGATGTGCACTGTTCGCGATGTGCACTGTTCGCGATGTGCACTGTTCGCGATGTGCACTGTTCGCGATGTGCACTGTTCGCGATGTGCACTGTTCGCGATGTGCACTGTTCGCGATGTGCACTGTTCGCGATGTGCACTGTTCGCGATGTGCACTCTTCGCGATGTGCACTCTTCGCGATGTGCACTCTTCGCGATGTGCACTCTTCGCGATGTGCACTCTTCGCGATGTGCACTCTTCGCGATGTGCACTCTTCGCGATGTGCACTCTTCGCGATGTGCACTCTTCGCGATGTGCACTCTTCGCGATGTGCACTCTTCGCGATGTGCACTGTTCGCGATGTGCACTCTTCGCGATGTGCACTGTTCGCGATGTGCACTGTTCGCGATGTGCACTGTTCGCGATGTGCACTGTTCGCGATGTGCACTCTTCGCGATGTGCACTGTTCGCGATGTGCACTCTTCGCGATGTGCACTCTTCGCGATGTGCACTCTTCGCGATGTGCACTCTTCGCGATGTGCACTCTTCGCGATGTGCACTCTTCGCGATGTGCACTCTTCGCGATGTGCACTCTTCGCGATGTGCACTCTTCGCGATGTGCACTCTTCGCGATGTGCACTCTTCGCGATGTGCACTCTTCGCGATGTGCACTCTTCGCGATGTGCACTCTTCGCGATGTGCACTCTTCGCGATGTGCACTCTTCGCGATGTGCACTCTTCGCGATGTGCACTCTTCGCGATGTGCACTCTTCGCGATGTGCACTCTTCGCGATGTGCACTCTTCGCGATGTGCACTCTTCGCGATGTGCACTCTTCGCGATGTGCACTCTTCGCGATGTGCACTCTTCGCGATGTGCACTCTTCGCGATGTGCACTCTTCGCGATGTGCACTCTTCGCGATGTGCACTCTTCGCGATGTGCACTCTTCGCGATGTGCACTCTTCGCGATGTGCACTCTTCGCGATGTGCACTCTTCGCGATGTGCACTCTTCGCGATGTGCACTCTTCGCGATGTGCACTCTTCGCGATGTGCACTCTTCGCGATGTGCACTCTTCGCGATGTGCACTCTTCGCGATGTGCACTCTTCGCGATGTGCACTCTTCGCGATGTGCACTCTTCGCGATGTGCACACTAGAATAAGACAAAAGAGTATGATTGCACACTAGAATAAGACAAGAGTGAACAGTGGAACTGTAGCATATGTAGATGAGCTTGATGGAAGAGAAGATGATGCTTAGAACTTGTGACTATAAAGAGAAACTTGTGTAAGATGAAATGCTTGATGAGATAAGAACTTAGAGGAGAAGAAGAGTGTGAGCTCGTTGAAAGAAATAAGAGCGGTGATAAACACTTACTTAAGTGAATCTTACTAGGGATAGTTGTAGAAGTAACTTGAAAGAAGAACTTGAACTTGTATGGTTTACTTGGGAGTGACTTCAAGCCTTGGGTTGGATGATGATCCTCCCTTGAGCTTGTAGCTTGTAGCTTGTAGCTTCCTTATACTCTTAAGGAGTATGAGGTAGACTACTCTTCACTTGATAACTACTTTGTAGACTATGTGAGAGAGAGCCTTATGAGCATTAACTTATATTAAAGAGAGTATAGTACTACAAGCCTTATAGATCCATGAAGGATACATAGGCATGCATAGAGAGAGTAACCATCAATGGTAGCCTTGGAAGAGAGTAGCATGAGAGTATCAACTTTGGAGACATAGAAACTTGGTTACTAGTGAGGAGCCTTTGTAGTTGAAGAGGAGCTTGAAGGAGAAGCTTGGAATGAGCTTGGAGAGGAGCTTGATGAAGAAGCTTGAGAGGCATTGTTGTCATTGAAGAACCTTCTTGAGAAATTGTAGAGATGCTTGTTGGAGTTGAATAGTAGTAGAGCATGAGGTGGGGGTTGAGCACTTGTTGAGTTGGAGTTGTAGGCCTTGCAGTGTTGGAAGAGAACTTGGGTGACTTGTGAAGGAATGAATAGAGAGGATAGGAAAACTTTGGTGTCTTGGAAGAGGAGGTGATGTGGTAATCATGAATCCTTGAAAGATGAGTTGGCGACTTTGGTGACTTGGGAAAGGAAGGAAGGGAGGAATGAATTAGAGGCATGTGGAGGTTGATGACTAGGAAATGGAGACATGTGCTTGGAGGCACATGGGAGGAGAATAATTGGAGGAAGTAGATGACTTGGGTAATATTTGATGAGTAGGAAGGGAAAGCACATGGAAAATCATGAAGAATCATGTGCCTTATGGTGGGGCTTGGAGGTGAATAGGAATTTTGGTTGAAGTCTTAGATGAGTTGGATTAGGAATGGCTATGGTGGTTGGGAGTATTTAAAGAGGTGGTTGATAGGCTTGAGTTGGAGAGGATGAGTTGGAAAAGGAAGTTTGTAACTTCAGTGGTTGGAATAGGCTTTGTAGGAGTTGAGTGGTTTGGATGGGTTCTTAGGAAAATGTGTCGAGGGTGTTTTGAGGGGAAGGGGTTGGAGTGGTACAGTAGCGTGGCACGTGAAGAGCGTGCCATTCACAACAAATCCGTCACCTGCTGGTGGTGTCGAAGCTGGTTAAGCGTGGCAGGAGCGCGTTCGCCAGTGGCTTCGGCTTCCACCGTACTGTTGACCCAGTCACTGGGCTGGATACTGACTGTATTCGCGGCTTGATCGCCCCCCACGCCGCTGATGAGTACCGTTGGAGGTACTTCGTGGAGGATCCGTCGACAGGGAGGCGTTACCTGCTCCACTTCCCGTCACTTACCTACGAGCTCTGCAGCGGCCAGCACATGTCCCGATACCATGATCACTACGTCACCTCCAGGCAAGAGAACTTCATCAACTGGAACCTGACGGTAAAAAAGGTTCATGAGATGAATGGTATATGCAGAGAGACCTCTCACCTTCTACCTTCGCATTCCGTACCTTTGCATTCTTTACCGCTTACCTCACATTTCTTGACCCATACTGACGGCTGTCTCCCCGCCTCTCCCCGCAGCGGCATCCCTGAAAGCTTCATCACTCCTGAAACGTATCATGAAAGACCCCGCAGTTGTACTCACCTCCACAGGGGGTGTGCGGGAGGTGTGGGTGTGCATACAGACTGTGTGCGAGAAGGCGCATGGGAATCGTTTCGAACAGGCGGTGGCCCATGTTGCTTCTGCCAGGCACAAGGGAGGGCTGCGGAAAGACGGCGCTGCAACACGTGCCAGCAAGCACTCCCAGAAGATGGCTGCTTTCAAAAAGGAGTTCATAGACATGCCGGCAAAGAAGTGATCAGCAGCTTAGTGGACGAGGAGTCGAAGTGGATTGTTGGAGCAGGTTGTGTAGTAGGTGCCATGCTCGCCTTCGCTGTAGCTGGATGTATCGTCGCAATAAAGCTTAACCGCCCGTGGATGCTGTGGGGCTCACATATGTGGATAAATGGATAAACGCAACAGCCTAACATTTCTCGAGCTCAACATCAACAGGCTCGGTAGCAGCGGAAAGCAAGAACGCTGCGGAAAGTGGATCAGGAAAGCGTCAAACATTGTTGTACTCACTGACATACGTGTTCCAGCTGATCACAATTTTTGGTCGCAAGTTAGATAAGGCCCAGGCGGTGGTTGGCCCATCACAGAGAGCTGGTAGAGTGGCTGTCTTGGGTTTCTTGCCAGGCATGCAGTTCACAGAGGTTGTTAAACACGAGTCAGGGCGCCTCATAAGTCTAATGATAGCATGGCGCGACTTGCGGTGCAGAATATTGGCAGTATACTTACCAGCGCAAGCCCCTGCTAGGGGTGTTTTCTTCCGTGAGGTACTGACACCGTTTGTGCAGAATCTGGGCGCCTCTCCGCACACCGTCCTCTTAGGCGACTTGAACATTGTAGCGGACCCAGAACTCGATAAAACTTCGAAAATGGGAACTCCGGCGGAGAATCAGAGGCTCCTGCAGATATGCTCGAGATGGGATCTGCGGGACGCCTTCCGGAGCCTCCACCCAACGAGGAAAGAGTATACTTTCTTCTCGAGATCTGCAAAGTCGAGTACACGGATTGACAGAGCGTTAGTTTCCCACTCCCTACTCAGCTGCGTAACAAAGGCGAAACACAGAATTGTGCCTTGCGGTTTGACTGACCATTGGTTTGCAGTGGTGGTGTCGCTTAAGTCAGCACTGTCGGACGATCATGGTCCTGGCCTATGGAGGCTTCAGGCGCCTTAGTCATGGGGGAAGGAGTCAAGAACATCATATCGGCGGTGGTGGATGCGCAAGCGAGCCAACAGGACCGAGGTCTGGAGAGACTGGTGACAAACCTGCGTGCAAGCATGCGGGCTCATGTAGCAGAGGAGAGAAAGAGGGTAAGGGCGACCATGGAGCACCTGGAAAGGAAAGTGGATGGTCTCCGATGGAGGGTGATGGCGGACTCGTCTTCGCAAGCCTTGTACGAGGAGCTGGTTAAGAGTGAAGCGGCCTTGAAACTCTACCAGGACCACAATAAGGAGAGACTGCAGATCATATCAGGGCTGCTGCTGGAGCTGGCGGGAGAGACCCCGTCAGGCTTCCTGTCGGGGTTAGTCAAATCGAGAAAGGCGAAAACGGAAATAATGGAGCTGAACTTCAAAGGGGTGCTGAGGAAGGGGGCAAGAGAGGTGTTGCAAGCGACTTCAGAGCATTACAGAGAGGCCTATGCTGCGTCACCTCTGCATCAAGCCCAAGAACCGTGGCCGATAGAAGAGGGAAGGAAGTTACATGAGAGCGACCGGTCACAGTTGGACAAGGAGTGGTCAGAGGAAGAGGTGAAGGCAGCGCTCAAGGGCTTACCGGCAGGGAAGGCCCCGGGGCAGGACGGTTTACCGAAAGAGTTCTTCGAGCGTAACTGGGAGCTGCTCGGACCGGCGGTGATGAGGGAGGTCAGGGACTTCGAGGCGTCTGGGAAACTCTCGGAGGCTTTCACAACGGCGGTCACAATCTTACTGCACAAGAAAGGGGATAGAGGAGATCTGAGCAACTACAGGCCAATCACACTGTTGAGCTTCTTTTACAAACTGTTGGCGAAGGTGCTGGCGAACAGAATCAGAATGGTCTTACCACGTGTGATCTCGGAAAACCAGTTTGGTTTTCTTCCGGGCAGGAGCCTCGCTGAAGCGGTCTCGCTGGTAGCGGACGCGATCGACGCTGCGAAGCAGGAAGATGAGGATTGGCTGCTGCTGTTGGTAGACTTCCAGAAAGCCTATGATTCTGTGTCGCGCGAGTACCTGTTCACAACGCTGGGCAACATGGGGTTTTCGAGAAAATTCACGGGGTGGGTGAAAGGTCTTCACGATGGCGCGGCAACCAAGGTGATGCTGAACGACTGGATAGGGGAGCATGTGGAGATGGTCAAAGGGGTGCGGCAGGGTTGCCCGCTCGCCCCATACCTGTTCCTCTGCGCGGTTGAGCCACTCTGCCAAGAGATTGAAAGGAGGAAGTTGGGGGTCCGGAAAAGAGGGGTGAAGGGGGAGTTAGCCTACATCGGATACGCTAACGATACAACCCTGGTCCTAAAAGGGAAGGAGCAAGTGGAGACAGCCGGGAAATTACTCGGGGAATTCGCGGAGATCTCGGGATTAAAGGTGAACCATGACAAAACAACACTGATGCCTCTGGGGAAGAACAGAAGGAGGCTGCAGCCGATAGCGTCGCCTTTCACATGGGCGGACAAGAACAGGTCAGAGCGGTTGCTTGGAATCTGGATCACATCGGGAGGATCCCCGGGGCCTGCGTGGGACAAAGCTTTCGAAAAGGTCAGCGCGGAGTTAAGTTGCTGGGAGACAAAACACCTTAAAACATCGGCGCAGGTCACGATTATCAACAGCTACGCGATGCTGATTCTGCTGTCCCATGCACAGATTTACGCCCCGCCGCATGACATTTTTGGACCAAGGTGAAGCGGCTGTGCCACAACTTCCTTTCTGGAGGGAAGGCGCTCCTCGACAGGCACTTCACTCTCTGGAACTACGAGCTCTCATGTAGGGGACGGAAGGAGGGAGGCTTGGGAGTGATCGATCTGAAACATCGGATTGACAGCACGGTGATTCAAAACTTGGGGAAAGCCCTGGCGGAGCAGGAGCCTCTGCGGAACTGGATTTGGGAGAGAGCTGCCTGCTTCCCACTTGGCTTGGCCACGATATACGCCCACCCCTCGGTGCTGAAACACTGGTTGGGGGGAGGGGCAAGATGGAAGGCGGCAGTGAAAGCGCTGTGGGACTCAAAAATCGTGGTCATAGATGACCCTGCACGCAGATGGGATGCAGACGAAGAGCACCTGCTTTTCAATAGAATATCTTCTTCCGGGGAAAATCACCATTCGGGAACTAGGCAGGGTCTCACTGTCTGAAGGGCGTCAGACTGGGGGACTTGGTGACCAAAGACAGGGACGGTAGCAGAACTCTCAAGAGCGAATCGGCCTTGGAACACGAACTGGGAGGCACGGAGCAGAGGCAATGGGCCCTGAAAGCGTGGGACGCAACACCGTAAAGATGGAAGGACCTGTTACTTAGACAGCTGACAGTAGAGGAAATCTTCAGGGAGACGGGTCTGGTTCGCTTGCCGTCATACCGTCCGGGAGAGTTCTTCTACTATCAATTGGAGTTCGTGAACGAAGGCGTACTATACGGGCAGAGGGTGACCGTGGATAAAAAGGGATATATATCGGCGATGCAGTATGCTAGCATGGTAACAGTGGACTTTCTGTGCGCTACTCCTATGGCGGTCATAGGAGGGAGGGTCCGAGGCCTACTCGGCGCCCCAAGAACGTGCCTACTTTACTCTCCAATCTGTGAGAAGGGCGAGCGGGCCGAGCTGAAACAGCTGAGAAAGGCGATGAAACCCCCTCCGACTCAACCTAAGCAGCAGCTGCAGTGGGAAGAAGTGATGGGGAGGAAGATTGATTGGGGGAAGGCCATCACAGTCCGTGACTCGCTGGCAACCCCATGCAGGGCACGCGAAGTGGTGCTGAGGGTGCACAGTAACAACCTCCAAGTGGGAGAGAGGCTCCCCTTCGTGGGCGCGAGGGCGAAATGCACGCACTGCGGCGGAGTGGAATCGCAAGATCATTGCTTATTTAGCTGCCCAGTGTTCCAGCCAGCGGTGGAGGTGATGAAAAAGGCGGTGCAATGCATGAATCTAGACAGGGATATGAGGTCTCTCGAGGACATGCTCTTTCAAAAGAGTGGCACGTCGTCCAGTTTTCCGGAGGCTGCAATCATTTCCATTACAGCGCAGCAGGTGTGGTTGGAGAGATGCAACGCGGTATTCCGAGGCAGCCGTTTCCAGCCAAAAAGGGCACTGAGGCGCATAGCAGTTGGTTTTACAAGGCACGTGAAGGTCTACAGTAGAGCGCGGAAGAGGATGGTTGGCAGAAGTGGTTCGAAAAGGACGGGTGACTGGGGCCACTTGAACGCTGACGAGGCAAACGCCATGCGCAGACTTTACGAGAACGAGGCTTCGATGACGTGGAGAGCAGGTTTCAAAGCAATTTGGGAAGATGGCGGTGTAGCTTTCCAGCCTCCGTAAAGGGATAAGGGGGGTTTGGTTACTTTTAACCTTTTTCATGCCCTCCTAGCATCAGTTACGACTGCGGATGTATGTATACGTGTAGTGTACTTATGTCCACAAGAAAAGAAAAAAAAAAAGTGATGTGCACTGTTCGCGATGTGCACTGTTCGCGATGGGCACTATTCGCGATGTGCACTGTTCATCTCGGGCGCAACCCCCAAGCCCACTGCTGTGAGCAGTGCTGCCAGCAGTGCTGCGCCCGCCATTTAATCCGAGATCCAACCAGCAAGCGTGCAATGGAGGAGCAGAGGAGGTTGGCACGGCGGCTGGGGCCTTGGGCACAGGGAGATGCGGCAAATGGCAACTGGATCACCCTTTCATGCACCGGGTGTTAACGGGAGTGAAGTGTTGGCCGCGCCCTCGCTTGGGCAACGCCGACGACTTGGTCGGATGTACGGTAGTAGCAGCCGACCATCCACAGTGGGAGAGCAGCTCGACAGGCTTCGTCGAGCTGCAGGGGACCGCTGTGGTGTTGCTGTCGACTAGGGAGCTCGACAGCTGCAACTGACTGGTATGGGCGACGGATGGGCCGTCGACCAGGAGGTGCTGTTCGATCGGGAGGTCGACGGAGCAGTCCGTCGACTTGAGAAGTGAGCAGCGGTCGACAAGGGGAGCTCGTCGACAACAACTGACAGTTCTGGTCGACGGAAGGGGTCCGTCGACCAGGGGGTAGCTCGACGGGAGCTGTGATCGACCAGAGGGACCTGGTGGTCGACCAGAGGCACTTGGGGTTGTCCAGGTCGACCGGGTAACCTGCTCGGCGAGCTCTGCGGAGGCACGCAATCGTCGTCGAGGTCGCAATGGCGAAGGCGTCTTCGGGTTGGTATCTCGAAGTCGATGTGGCTCGTCAGGCGCAGACAACAGCCAACGAATGCACAACGGTGCAAGTCGGGCCAATCGTCTGCACGCATCTGCGAGCGTGTGCATTGCTGTCTTCTACGGGGCAACGCTGGACAGTCGCTCTGCTGCAGCGTTGGCACACCGTCGACCTGCTGTGTTGGCAGGTCGCCTTTCTGCAGTGCTGGCGCGGCTACTCTACGCAACGCTGGCAGGCGGTCGACCATGCTGTGCTGTCTGTCGACCAGGCTAGCTGCAGGATTGCTAGGTGCCTGATGTAGTCATTGTTGTCATTGCCTTGTTAAAAAAAAAAAAAACAATTATGTAATTCCAAATTTGCTAGTGGAAACTCTTGCCAATTTCTCCCGTAATTGTGCAAGCACTAAGGAACTAGACAAAGCTACGATCACTCATAGTAGTTCGTGCCAACCCCGTAGTCTAGCTCACTACCGTTGTAGAGTGAATCTCCGCATGGGGAAGGGAGGGTTCGAGAAGGTCTGTTGCTTGTGATGTGGCATGCTTGTGGTAGTGCTGTATATGTGTGTGTGTGTGTGTGTGTATGTGTGTGTGTGTGTGTGTGTGTGTGTGTGTGTGTGTGTGTTTGTGCTGTTCCAGGGTTTGAGGGAGGTGTGGTGGGTAGGAGACCATAGCAGGGGCAAGATGCCGCGCGTGTGTTTGCCTGCCGCACGCACGCCCTATTGCAGGAAGGAGCATCTTTGTGTTGCTCTTATTAGGGCCTGCTTGCTTTCTAGCTTGCATCCTTTGTTTCTTGAGTCTTCTATTTTACTCTGTTTGCAATTCGGTGGGCTGTTATTCAATGGAAATCTCTTTCCTTTAGCACCCTTATGTTCATCAATCCGTGACTCTAGCTGCTAATTAACCAGACAAGAATGTACATCTCATCATAAACCCAACAGGATTGCTTGACCCGGTGGAAGAGCAAGATCTCGTGACCACGAGCAAGCACGGCTCCCCCCTCCCATTCATCCCCACTGCACTCCACACCCCATGCTCCTCACTCTCAAGACTTCAACTCATTTCACCTATCGGGCCGCCGAATGGATTGCTTGACTTAGTGGAAGAGCAAGACCTAGCAAGCACTGCTTCCCCCTCCCTTCCACCCTCACCAACACCCCATGACGATCCCTCGTGCTCCTCACTCTCAGGAATCAACTCATTTCATCCTCACTGCCAAATGGATCGCTTGACCGGGTGGAAGAGCAAGATCTCGCCAGCACGGCTTCCCGCTCCCCTCCACTCCCCATGATGATGCCCCATGCTCATCACTCTCGAAAGTCAGCTCATTTCATCTATTGGGCCAAACGGATTGCTGGACCGGGTGGAAGAACAAGATCTCGCAAGCACGGCCTCCCCCTCCCCTCCACCCCCACTGCACTCCACACCCCATGACGACCCCCCCTGCTCCTCACTCTCGGATGACGTGGGTGAACTGGGCGGCGATATTCGGCTCATTACAAACGCCTCCATGCTTCTTCGGCAATCGTTGCCAGCTGTCCCTTGCTGCAACTGCTGCTGCTGTTGTTGCTGCGCTAGTTGTTGCTGCTGCTGCCCCTGCCACTGATGCCACTGCTGCCCTTGTTGCTGCTGCTGCGGGGGGAAGGAACCAGGCATAGCAGCACCACCGTCCACCCATGTGTGATGACTAAACTCCATTCGACCGTACCCCAACTGACCAGCACCATCACTTCCCACCATCCTCTCCTCCCTCTCCTCCCTAGCACCCCTCTCCCCCATTGCTCCTCTTGTCGCCTCCAGACTCCCCGCACCAGTCACCCCTGCTTGCCATCTTGTACCGTTCTCCACCATTCCACTAACAGCAGCATGCATAGAACCAGCATCAGCAGCAGCAGCAGGAGCAGGAAGAGCAGCAGCACCAACACCACCCCCAGCACTAGGGACATTTGAGCCAACAGCAACAGCAGCACCACCACCAGCACAACCAGCACCACCTCCAGCAACCGCAGCAACAGCAGCAGCAGCAGGGTCACTGAGTCCCGACGAGCTCTGAGTGCGAATCATCTGAGATCGCAGCAGCGCCGCCCGTCTCAGATTCTTGGCAGTACTCGGGTCATTAGGAGATGTAGGAAGCCTCCCGTCCAGCTGGTCGTGCAAAAACCTTCCCTGCGCTGCCCGGGTTATGATACTGGCCGGACCCCTGCCGAAAAAACCCGGCGGGACCCGAACCAGGTTGGAGATCCCAGCAGCTGCGGGAGAATCCCGCCCGGGCAGCGGCGCGGGAAAACTTTGACCTGCCCGCAAACAAGCGGGACTATTACCACCATTAAGACCACTGCCGGTGGTATGGTTGCTGGTAATACTGTTATTGATGGCATAAGTGAATGGAGCACGAGGGGAGGAGCGAGGGCTAGGGGAGCGATAACGGCGGTCAGAGGCTGGAGATATGTTCCTCTCACCCCCACTGCCGTGTACAAATGGGGCTGAGGGGGGGATGAA